GGTTTGGTATGTACTGGTAATGGTTAGGTTTAGGGTTAGGTATGTACTGGTAATGGTTAGGTTTAGGGTTAGGTATGCAATGGTAATGGTTAAGTTTAGAGTTAGCAATGGACTGGTAATGGTTAGGGTTAGGTATGTACTTGTAAGGATTAGGTTTAGAGTTAATTATGTCCTGGTAATGGTTATGGTTAGGCTGTAGAAATTAATGAAAAATGAATGGAAGTCAGTGCATTAGTCCCTGTAAAGATAGAAAGACAAACTCGTGTGTGTGCGTGCAAGCGTGTGTGGGAGTGTGTGTGTGACACGTGCACACTCCAGGCCCACCTGTGAGTAGCTTGTTGATCCGGAGCTTGACCTGGGGTCCCTCCCAGACGCTGGGGACCCCCCCTCCTTCTGACTGCCCACAGAGGAGGAGTCTGAGCAGCTACTGTGGACTGAGGCAGAAGTGGTTGCATCAAAGCACATCCTCAAAATAGAACAGTTCTGCAGCCTCTTCTACGTATAGTTGTTTATTTATTTATTTTTGGTGCTGGTAGGGGTGGAGGAGCCTCTCAGAATAGTCATCCCAGTTGGCATTTGTGGGTCGTTCGCATGCATATATTAATGAATGCATACTAATACATATTTTCTGTTTGAGTTCAGTATAAAATCCATGGAAAAACAGAGCGGAGTAGGAATAAATAAGCCTTTTCTTGTCTTGGTCTTTCAGTTTTTAGCACCGGTCTGTCCCCGAGGAGGCTCCGTGTCCTGAAGTCCTCTCACTGAGACCTCTGGTGAGCAGAGCCAGCATTACACCGAGGTGTGAAGGGAAACCACTTTGGCTCTGGGGCCCCTCAACTGACTGATGAGTCTTGAGGAATTGGACCTCAGATGGAGGGTGTTTCTGCTGTATTTGTGATGGCTTACTCGTGTGGACAAACACTCCCTGAGATGTTTACATCGGTTTGCAGAGAGCATTAGTTTCCTCCAGTCTGCCTCTCATGACTGTCTCTGCCTAATCCCCAACATTTTAAAACAGATTCATCTGTGTGTGCAGCGTGTTTGGAAGGAGCTGGAGCAAATCTGTGTTTAATTGTTCAGAAACAGTGTCTGTCCAAATATTTCAAGCAGTTTTTGGGGCTTTTTTTACTGAACTGACTGCTTTCTCTTAAATTTATTTTACAGACTGAACATGTGTTATCGACAAGACGTGCAACGGAAATCAGAGCAGAAACACAGCTGATTGTCACATCATTTCACACGGCGGGAAGGAGTTTATCTGAACACTGACTGAATGAGAACAAAACATCTGTTAGCTCCTGGCTTCTGATCTCATGCAAGGGTTTGGTGAAGATCTTTGTCCAGGTCTTTATTAAGGGTGTAACAGAAGAGACTAAACTAAGATAACTAACGTGAGCTAATCTAATCTAAGTTAGGCTAAACTCAAGTTAAAATGAATGAAAACTGCAACTAAAATAAACTTTTACCTAAAGTTAAGCTAATCTAAAACTAGAGAAATTGCATTTTTTTGCGAAAATGCAGTGTGAAGGCTTATTGCAGAAGAACTTGCTGAAAAACAGCTGAAATTAGCCAAAAACATACTGAAATGAAGAACAAGCCTAAATTAGCAGAAGAAAGCAGAAAGACCATATACAGTATTTGCTGAATTAGGTTAAAATAAGCAGAAATTAGCACCAAAAAGAAGGAAAAAAAAAAAAAAGCTAGAAAT